GGGGTGGGGGTGGGCGGGGGAGACCCAGTTCTTGTGACAAGCAGAGCAGGGAAGTGGGATGAATGATAGTGGCCGTTTCAGACAGGCTTTTCAGGGAAGGCCTTTCTGAGGGGAGGTGAGGGAAGGACCCGTGCTGTGGCCTGAGGGGAGGGCTGTGTCAAGGCCCTGGGACAGGACCGTAGTGGGAGGAACAGCCGGGAGGCCTGTGTGGCTGGACAGAGTGAGGGAGGGAGAGATGGCGGAGAGGACAGGGAGCGGACGGGGGCAGGTCGTGCAGGGCCTGTGGGTCAGGAAGGGGATTTAGGGTTTTATTCTGAGTGATGTGGGTGCTCTGGAGGGCTGGGCCAGAGGGAGGGTGAGACCTGCCTCGGGGCCTCACAGGCGCGCTCTGGAGCCTGCTGTGGGGAGGACAGACGGGAAGGGAGATGCAGGACCTGACTGGAGTGCCCACGGGTGCCCTCTAGTGGCCGATACAGGGAGGACAGATGGGAGGAGGCGGGGCCGGGGGTGAGAACTTGGGACCGTGTCGGAGGGGACGGAGACGTTCCAGGTGGAAGAGGATGGGGCTGGACTAAGCGAAGGCTCAGGAGGGAAGCTGGATTTGGGAGGTCAGTCTGGGAGGGAACCTGGTTGAGGCTGCCTGTGCATCTGGACGTCACCCAGACTTCATGCCCTCGATGGCCAGCTGGGGCCGCTCTCGTGCTGTCGCACTTACCTGCGGGCTCTACCAGGCATCCACTAAGAGGAGTCCTGTCATCACCCAGGTTCCACGTGGGAAACCGAGGCAGGAAAAAGCCAGCCCTTTGCCCTGATGGTAGACCAGCACTTCCTGGGTCTTGGCACCAGCTGCGACCTGTGTAGCCAGGTGGGGTTGAGGCAAAAAGATGTGGAAATGTATGGCCCTTGTTTCAAAACGAGGATAATTTCGGCCTGGCTGGCATGGCTCAGTGGTTGAGTGGTTGACCTATGAACCAGGAGGTCACATTTCGATTCCCGGTCAGGGCTCATGCCCAGGTTGCGGGCTCAAACCCTGGTGTGCAGGAGGCAGCTGATCAATGATTCTCTCTCATCAGTGATGTTTCTATCTTTCTCTCCCCCTCTCTCTTCCTCTCTCTGAAATCCATAAAAATAGTTTAAAAATAAATAAATAAAAAGAGGGGGTGGACCTTTGTATCTGAGCCGTGGACCACTCCTGGGGTGGGGGTGGGGGCGTGGCTTTGGGTGTGGCTAGGAGCAGGGTTCAGGGAGGGACACAACTGTGGCCTCAGTGGCAAATAATCCTATCAGCTGAGGAGTGGGAGGGACTTTGAAAAAATGTAAATAACCAATTCTTTATTAAAACATGAGGGACATTTTAAAAAATATATATTTTTTTATTGATTTCAGAGAGAAAGGGAGAGGGAGAGAGAGGTAGAAACATCAATGAGAGAGAATCATTGACTGGCTGCCTCCTGCACACCCCCTACTGGGGATCGAGCCCACAACCCGGACATGTGCTGTTGACTGAAATTGAACCCGGGACCCTTCAGTCCACAGGCCGATGCTCTATCCAGTTTGGAATATAGCTCTATCCAAACTGGCTAGGGATATATTCACGTTTCATGCTTTTCTCTCTGTGTGTATGTGTTTCAAACATGCACACAAGCCCAGCCGCCGTGGCTCAGTGGTTGAGTGTCAACCTATGAACCAGGAGGACATGGTTTGATCCCTGGTCAGGGCACATGCCGCGGGTTGCGGCTCAATCTCCAGTGTGAGGTGTGCAGGAGGCAACCGATCAATGATTCTCTCATTATTGATGTTTCTATCTCCCTCTCCCTTCCTCCCTAAAAAAAACAAATTAAAAAAAATCCCTCCCCCACCCCCAAAAACACGCACACACACTCACCCTGGTGCTTCCTGATGAACTCATATGTGACAATGTCCCCCGCCCGGTGCCTGGCCGGGGGCAAGGAACCAGTTTGCCTTTTGGGGAACTGAAGGGAGTTTTGTTTTGAAGCGGGGGAAATGCAGAGAGGCCCAGCCCAGCAGGCAGCGAGGGAGCGGGTGGGTTTCTGAGGTCAGTGAGGATGCGGAGGTGGGAGACCAGGCCGGGCACCGGGTCCTGCTGCTGGGAGTGGGCCGCGGGCAGCTGCCCAGAGACGTGGCCCTCGGATCCTGGGCCGCTCTGCGTTTCCGTCCGCTCTCGTCTGTGACTCAGCCCGGCCTGCTCTGTTGCCGAGCTGGTTATTTCTGTTCCGTGCCTCCTCCAGCTCTGCGCAACCCAGACTGATTTCTGCTTTTCTTCCCCGGCCTGGCAGTGGGAGTCACCCTGA